AAGTGAATACTTTTCCAAATCAGTGGAAAGTATATACTGCTTAATTAGTATACATATGTTATCAAATTATTGGAAAGTAAATCCCTATATATCAGACTGTTTAATTAATATAGATATTTTATCTAATTATCACTAATTATCAGAAAGTAAATCCGTTATAGGAAAAAAAACATATATATCTCCTTTTCTATAAGAAAAAAGCTAATTAAAATAAAAATTAATCATCGGAAAGTAAATCCTGTACACGCGTTCCAACGTATATTCATTTGCGGATTTTTAAAAAGTATATCACAATTAAGAACATAAAAAAGAGAACATCTTTTAGAAAACTTCGAAAAGCATACAAAGTATAATGAAGTCGAATGGAAGGTTTGCTACTGTGACCCGAAGAGGAAGCCGGAAAGTCTTGATAGTCAAACAATGAATTGATCATCAACATTTAATTTGCTCCAATATATAATATGTATGCAGAAGGATACTGTGTTTTGTTCAGCCAGACACTCAAATTGCAAAACAAATAGCTTAACAGTTAGACTCTCTATCCTTTTTGAAAAACAGTCTATCTTAATGACCAAGTTGAATAGTCTGCGTCTCACTACAAATCGGAAAAGGTTGCTTTTAGTTCGGCTTAAATATTAGAGAACAGCAATCAAGTTAATAGATAGTGTATTAAATTCATAGTGAGTGATTTTGTGAATTGAAGAGTATGAACATTCACACTAAAATGTAACGGTCTATACATAATCAGTGTTCTATACACGAATATTCTGTTTTTCGTTCGGTCTCTTCATTCTGATAACATGAAAATAAGAGAAATCAGAGAAAAAAAGAATATATCCAGAACGGAGAAAAATGGGAGAATAGAATAAAAAGCGTTAGTTTCCACGCAAAAACAGTTTTTCGTTTCTTTCTCGAACACTAAGAGTTGTCCAAGAAAACGGGTAGTATATTCAGAATCCTCGTGAAATTGCGAATCAGAATATGTATTTGGTTTCTCTTATTTTCAGCCCGATGGAACATCGAACGTTTTGCTATGAAATAGCTCGTTTTCCCAAATTAAGTGCACTACCAGTACTAAATGCTATTCAGCAATATTATCCAAATATTATAGTTACGATGAGTGATTTACAGGAAAAAGAAAAGACTGCTACATGTCGTCCAAAATTAGTCGCCGGTATAAAAGAAAAGCTAATAGAATTGAAACAACGTGATTCACGTCCATATAAATGGCAAGGTGATGCAACTGAACTTAACGAGTGGTTTGGAAAGTTATTTCCAGTTAATGCATGATATGATCGTTTGAATAACCAACAACATAACCACGAACACAAACACACATATTTTATACCCAAACCATTTAGTTAATAAGGTGAAAAATTGGCAAAAACTAAAACAGATTTCGTACTCTTGACGCACATATCCAATCATCAGCCTCTTTTGAGTTGTCTCTTTATAAAAAGAAAATGATTGTTTCTTTTAATCTTTTTAATTTCTAATTAATTAATAAATCCGATTTTTACCGTATCATCATTTCAGCCAACTTTAAACATGTTTTCTACAATTCGTTCTGCCCATTCCAATCGTACATTGGAAAATCCTTTTACACTAACGAGAGAGCCTTTCGAGGTGATTAAAAGCTTTTTGATCTACATCTGGTGGGTTATAGGTTATCGACCATGCTGATCCCGAATATGATCATGGGACTGGTCCATAGCTCTTCGAAGATCCAGTCTTCTCAAAACCAGTCAGTCGTCGAAAACCAGTTTTTCAGAAATCCGAAAAAATAACCCAAGCCTTTCTTAATAATGCAGGATTGTAGCGCGCAAATTTCTGATTAAATGATACATCCCCCAGCTCTACACGACCTTTCTTTGCAAAGTTATAGAGTTTATAAGAAGAGCCTAAAATTGTTCATTGTCAGCTCAAGCTATGAAATAATTTTGATACCCTAACGCAGATTAGCGCTCGTTAAAAATACCTTTTCTACCAAAATTACGTTTAAACGGGTTAAATTTTCAAAAATCACGCATACTGACGCTTCTTCCGGCTGGTGATGTGTGAAAACTCGTTGAATATGATTCTGAAAGATCTAACGAGTTTTCACGCGTTCAGATTGAACGAGTTCAAGTGCGTTAAGATTTTGTTGATGCGTTTGGATGAGTTTAATACGAAAAAGTTACTTGTAATGGGTTTGAACCAGTGTGGGTATCGAATGCGCTCTAACTGCTCTTAAATAGTGATGCAACCAAAATCGATTGCAATTAGAAGCATCAAATTTAACTGCTTTGAAATTGAATTGTTACGTGTTATGTATAGGCATGCACCAATACCAAGCATTATTGAAGATATTGTACAATAGTACTGGATACCCAATATATTGTATTGGTGCATGACTAGTTATGTAATCGCGTTTTACACGTTGATCTATCATTTGTAATCGTACGTTCAACCAATCACAAACGTAAATTGTATACATGTACAATTTTCATTCAAATCCGTTGAACTTAGCAAAACGCACACGGGGCTTCAAGTCTTCAAGTAATAATGAGTTCATCTTAAATAAGTGAACACATCTCTTCACTGTCTTTTTTTTCTTCTCTATAGACGAATCTTTTTACAAACAAGCAGTAGAATAAGTAGTTCGAAACTGTTAGGGTCGGAGCGAAGATTAAATATAATAAAAAGATTACCTGATTACTAAATTTTTTCTTATTATGGTCCAAAAGAAGAATCTCATATGTGCAAGATCAAAACGAATACACTTCCTAAAACAAGAGCTGTACTCGACCATACTATTCCCCTCTTCTTTTCAGTGACAATGGATATGGGCAATCAAAAACATCACATAACAGAGAACGCATCGCATCCTCTTAATAGCGTACTTGTGTTGAAACTATTATCGACTAAACTGTAGCAAGTTGTTGACGCGCGCTATGTTTCAAACTCAAACGTTGGAACATGTGAATTCATCGAAAACCGATCATATACAATTCGAACGCGTTTGATTATAAAGAAAAAATGTATATTTCTAAATAAGACCTATTTTAACTCGTTTACACGGGTAGAATAACTTTCAACCCATACAAACTCGTTCAGGGATGACTCATCAAAATTTTCAAGCGTTTAAACGCGTTAAAGCAGCGATTTAGCAATCACCGTTTTGTTTTGCATAACTAAATCATATATAAATATCACGCCTTTTCCTTCGAAATATACGAAATATTTGCTTAGAAGTTTTTCTAGGTTTTTCTCTTGCTGTAAATTACTGTACGAGACTAGTCCACCATAATGGTACTGATGAACAGTACCTAGTGGATCATAACCTGATGGGCCCTAGAATCCATCAACAAAAAAACAGTACCTGATTAGTACAAGAACAAAATCATACAAACGCGTTAAATATATTAACGCGTTTTAACGAGTTAGAACATTTTGAATCTAAAGAATTTTATTCTAACGAATGCTAACGCGTTCGAAGTCGTTAACAAAATCGAACGAGTTTGAACGCTCTACTACTGAGGTGTAACGTTAGCACACGTTATAAATTGAACGCGTCAAAACCGCCGAATATGAAACATTTAACGCGGTTTTAACGCGTTAATCCGCTTACCTGTCTCGTTATAATTTCAAACCTTTCCTGATTAACTAGTTTTAACCCAGCTTTTACTATTTTTGTAATGAAATCGTGTTTTAACGAGTTAGTGTTAATTTTGAGCCATTTCCGGTCGCATACAAGTTCGAAACATGACACGTTTGCACGCTTTCCA